GTCTTCTTATGGTCCTAAGTACTTGTTTCCTGTTATTAGTTAGTATTGTGTTTATAGTATATCTTCCCTGCATTGATGCTATAAACATCTTTCTCCCTACAGTTCTACTTTATTTACTCTCAAAGTGTCTTATGTGAAAATGTGCAGTGTAACTGATTTTTCATTCACTCATTTATAAAGATTTTTTTTTAATGGCTCCACTGACAGTCTCCATAACAGTAATGTTTGAGTCTTCACTGTGGTTCTTCATTTCATTCATCCTTCCAGCCTATCCCTTACTAACTTCTGAGATTTTTCTCTGAACAAATCAAACTCATGCTCAGATTCATTCATTGTTTTGGTGTCAGAACCAGCCCAGATCTGACCCTATGGTGTGTTTTTGGGAATTGTTTCACACCGGAAGAGATTGGCCACCTTTCTCCAGCAGAGCTCCTGGTGGATTTGAACTAGCAGAGAGGTGCTGCTGTTGGGTTTGTGCTGCAACTTCATATGCACTGTGCCACCAGAACCCTTTCTGTCTTATATGATTGATTATTCTAGGAAGTGAGTACCTCCTTAGTGTTATTCTTTTAAGCATATTTAATATTTAGCTGAATGTTGGCCCACAAGAGGAAAATTAGTTCTAGACTCAAAGAGTTAAATACAGTTCCTAGTGTATGAGGTTCTGCCAGTTTCTGTTAGACCAGCAAGTCGGGTCTTTTTGTGATTTTGAGCCAGGTTCCACGTTTTTGTCTTTAGTTTTGTCTTTGAGCCTCTTTGTGACCCCTTGCATAGTGGTCATCAGTGGTCGCCAGGTACCATCGGAAAGAAACATATTTTCATATGTTTTGTCCTGGAAAGCAGGTGCTATTGTCACACAGTTGTAAGCATTTGGCTTCTGACAGAAAGGTCAGAAGTTTGAGCATACCATCTATGGAAGAAAGATGTAAGCAGATTGCATGTTTTAATGAAAATTCAGATTCAGTATGTGATTTTTCTAGAAAATTTTTACTAGGATTTTTTGATTGACTAGTATCCATTTAGGACAAACTGGAAGAAAATAATCTTCTTGATAATTTGTCTTATAAACATTTATAATTTTTATGCCAGTCAATAAAGAGAAATTCTTCATAAAATTATAATACATCTTTTCTTAAGTAAAACTCTGGAATTTAAATTTTTGTTCTTGTTTTGCTACTGCTTTCAAGTACTTCTGTAGGCATTTGTCTCCAAGACAAATCTGAAATTACTATTAATGGTCATAGTTTCACTTTTCACATTATCTCACTTCTGTCTTTTTTTTTTTAAATTTAGGTTGTTTATTTTTCATTTCAATGAACATCTACAGATATTTTTTTAAGGTTTCCAGAAAAGCTCATCAGGTGTCAATGCGATGCCCTTATGATCTTGAGGGTCTCCTGGTTCTTGGCTTCTCTGGAGCAGGCTAGACCAGACTCCTGAGTGTGTGGACAGCCTCAGTGTGGAGCATCCTCCCTACTGTCACCTGAGGCTTCAGACACTTTGGTGATGCCAGGGCCTGCCTCGGCCTCCTTTTTCTCTACTGTGGACATCTAGACTTCCACAGCCAGATATGGTTGGGAACATTACAAGGTGAATAGGCCAGCCCAGGGGCCCTAGGTACTTGTGACCTCCCCTTCTGCTTGGGAGACATGTCTTTGGGGTGGGCTGGAACTGTGGCTTCTAAATCTTGGGGGATGACTGACCCACCTCGCTAGCTGATTTTCTGCTTGGGATGCTCTGTCTGGACCTTCAGTAAGGAATCTCCAGGACCATGAGCTTGACTCACCAGGGGCAGAAGAAGTGTCAGAACTGGTGAGGGTGAGTCCAAAAGTGCTGGGACAAAATGTTGTTAATGTCTGGGGGTAGAGATGCTGGGCTTGCCAGCAGCCACCAGTGGGTGTGGGGTCTGTGAGTCTAGCTCTGCCCAGGACAGGGACTGGTAAGAAGGAGACAACCTTCTCAGGGACTTTAGGGTACCAAGCTGCTTCTGAGGTCTCTGGACCTTGTCTGTTGGGGTCACTGGGCAAGAAGGCTTCCTCTTCACCACCCTCTGCTCTTCTGCTGAGCAGACTCTGGCTCTCTTCTGGGTTAGGTACCACACCTAGTTTCCGTGTGCCCTCTGCGTTGTCAGGCCCCTCGTTAGTGCCATCCTCTGAGGAATCTACCTTCTGGATGGCTTCTTGCTTCTGCAGTGGCTCTCTCTGTTCAGCCTGGTCCTGCCAGATGGTTCCCAAGGCCCATGAGGGAACAGGCTGCAGCACCCTCTTCCCTGGAAGCTTCCCCTTTCCAGATAGTACACTCCTGGTTCCAGTTACCTCCAGAGGGCTGTCTTCTCTGGGTGTCAGTTCCATCTTTAGTTTGGAGTGGGGAAGGCCAAAGCTATGCCTGTGAGAACTGGCCAACTTCTTCTCGGAAGCAGTAAGCAGAGCTGCCAGCTTCTCAGCTGACTGTGGTGCTTTAGTGGGGTGGCTCAGCATTCTTGGGTCTTGAGAGCTGTCTGCCCAGGGGAGCTGATGAGTGAAGCTTGGTGGGGAAGGCCTGAGCCCCATGGCCAGCCAGCGGTGATGGAGAACTCTGGTTGCCAGTGATAAATATCTTCCTCTGTGAAAAATCCATGTCTTTTACCATTTTGTGATTGTGTTATCAGTCTTTATCTTTTGGAGGCCCTGTAGGATTTTGTAAGCTTTTGATATGAGACCCTTGTCTGAAATGTCATTGACAAACGATTTTTTTCCCAGTCTGCAGGTTATCTTTTCACCTTTTTAGAAAAAGTTTTTGATGCACACCGGGACTTAATTATTAGGAGATCCTGTTCATCGATGTTACCCTTTCTTATTTGTGCATTTCAAACTATATTCAACAGCTTCTTTATACTATAGGTTAGGCCTTCTAAGCTTGGTTCCCCTTTGTCTTTTATGATCTTTATAGTTTAAGACTTTACCCCCAGGTTTCTGATCAGTCCTGAGTTGATTTTCGTGGTTGGTGTGTGCAGTGTTAGACCAAAAGTTGCCTTTTTAAAATCCATTTAGCCTCTGAGTTCCAGCTACTTTAACTACAGACATATGGTGTTGGCATAGCCTTGCAGATCAGCATCTACTCTGGGACTAAGATAGATGAAAGAGTGCTTCCCACACTAAGCAGCAAGATTTAAAGCAGCAAGACATGAGGCATGCAAGATTTAAGGTGAGAAAGTCATAAGGCAAGACTTGAACTAAGCAAGGCTTGAGGCAGTGAGACCCTAGTGAGAGTGAGAACCTGATGGTGGAGAGACTGGCATTGCTGTTGTTAAGTGCTGTCGAGTTGCTTGTGACTCATAGCTACGCTGTGTACAAGTCTTAATGCTGCCCTATCCTGAGCCAACTTTATTGTCTCTGACACATCTACCCCTTATTATGCAGTCACTGAATCAATCCATCTCATCAAGAGTCTTCATCTCCTGCATTGTCCCTCCACCCTTGCAAGCATGACATCCCATTCCAAAGACAGTCTCTCCTTGCAACATGACCAAAGTATGTCAGATAGAGTTTCAGAATTCTTGCCTCCAAGGATTGTCCTCTCTAGGACAAACTTGTTTGTTCTCTTAGCGGTCCATGGTATAACCAACACTCCTCTCCAGCACAACTCAAAGTATCAATTCTCCTTCTATCATCCCTTGTCATTGTCCAGCTTTCTGATGCATATCAAGTAACTGTGAAGACTATAGCTTGGATCAGGCACACCTTAGTCTGTAGACTGACATCATTGCTCTTCACTATACTGGAGAGGTCCGTACAGTAGACTTTCCCAATGCAATTTGTCTTTTGATTTTATGGCTGCTGGTACCAAGAGTATTGATTGTGGAGCCAAGCAAACTGAAGCTCTTAACAATCTCAATCCCTTCACCTATCATGATGCTGCCAGTTGGCCCAGTGGTAAATCTTTGTTTTCTTAATGTTCAGCTTCAATCCATATTGAAGGTTGCAGTGCTTGTACTCCTGCAGCAAATGCCTCAGGTCCTCCTCAGTTTGGGCAAGCAAGGTTATATCATCTGCATAATGCAGGTTGTTGATGAGTCTTCTTTCAATCTGGACACCACATTCCTTCCCAAATAGCCCAGCCTCCATTGCTGTGGAGAAACTGTGGCAAACTGTGACCTGAAGTTTCTTGCATTTGTACTGACCACAGTAAAAGGTATTCGGCTGCTCTTGCCTTTTATGATGGAAGGAGAAGCTGACATATAATTGTGCTGAGGCAAACTTTGCTTGATGATTTGAATAGAACTAATCTGAGCCAAACTTTCATTTGGTTTGGATTTGACTGCTGAATTGAAACTAGAGTCTGGACTAATAATTGGAGAATTGTCCTTGAAACTGTTGGTTTAAAGCCTGGACTTGTATTGGGTGATATTCTTTCCTTCCCAACTCACTTCCCTAATAAACTCCTCTGTTGGTATCATAACTATGAGTCTGAGCAACAGATAAAATAAACTCTTGTTATTGATGGGCCTGGCTCTACTGGTACCATTGGGCTGGGCTAAGGACACTTTATCTGCTTTCTTCTCTGAAATGGTGAAGGGCTGTGCCATTTTCATTTCCTCTGGCCCTTTCAGAGACTTCCATGGCCTTGTGCATCCATGGACCATTTTCTGCCACTTAGACAGTGTGAGAGGCAGATCCTGCTTTACCTATCTGCAGGTAGAAGGCCAGTTTTGCCAGCAACACCTGTTGGAAAGGTTGTAATTTCCACATTGTTGTTGTTGTTGTTATGTGCCGTCTAGTTGTTTGTGACTTTTAGTGACCCTGTGTACAATAGCCCTAAACCCTGCTCTATCCTGTGCCAATCGCATTGCCTCTGACACACCCATCCCGATTACCCCAGTCACTGAATCAATCTACCTCGTAGAGGGTCTTCCCCTTCTGCACTGTCCCTCTACCCTACCAAGCATGATGTCCCTCTCCAAGGACCTGTCTCTCCTTACAACATGTCCAAAGTATGTCAGACGAAGCCCCAGAATCCTTGCCTCCAAGGAGTAGCCTGGTATATCCCTCTTTAGGGTGGATCTGTTTGTTTCCTTGGCAGTCCATGGAACATTCAATACTCTTCTCCAGCACCACAGCTCAAAGGCATCAATTCTCCTGTTTTCCCTAGTCATTGTCCAACTCTCTGATGTATAACAAGTGATTGCAAAGACCATGGCCTGTATCAGACGCACCTTAGTCTCCAGAGAGACACTGTTGCTCTTGAGTACTTTAGAGAGGTCCCTAACCACAGACTTTCCCATCGCGATACACTTTTTAATTTCCTGACTTCTGGTGCCAAGAGTGTTGACTGTGGAGCCAAGCAAACTGAAGCTGTGAACAATCTCAATCTCTTTGCCATCCATCCTGATGCTACCGATTGGTCCAGTGGTGAGAATCTTTGTCTTTTTGACATTGAGCCTCAGTCCATACTGAAGGCTGCAGTCCTTGACCCTCTGCAGTAAGTGCATGAAGTCCTCCTCAGTTTCAGCGAGCATTTAGATAGGCTTTGTTTCCTTGCCAAATATATCATCTGACTATAGGTAGTTGTGTTAATTTCTGAATTTTCAATTATATTCCTTTGACTAGTGTGTCTGGCATTGTACCAATGCCATGGTATTTTGGTTGTTACAACTGTGCAGTAGGTTTCATATTAGGGAGTGCTATGCCTTCCACTTCATTCTTGTTTTTCAGAAGTACTTTGCTTATTCAAGCTCTCTTTCCTTTCCAGATAAACTTGCCAATTGCCTTTTCTATCTCTTTGAAAAATGAATTGGTATCTGTATTGTTATACGGCATATCATCTGACACATTTCAACAAACAGATGCTGCCTTGGACACATTCACCAGATTGTGCTAAGAAATCTGGAGGACATCTACCTGGTCAATTCACTAGATGAGATCTATATTTATTCCTATCCCAGAAAAAGGTTATCCAAAAAAGTGTGGAAATATTGGATAATATTATTAATATCACATGTAAGCAAAATCCTGCAGAAGATTATTAAAATAACTGACTGGAACAATACATTAAAAGAGAACTGCCAGATGTGCAAGTTGGATTTAGAAGAGGTTGTGACATTATAGCCAATGTTAGATGGATTAGCTGAAAGCAAACAGTACCAGAAGGAAAGGCATTTGACTGTGTGGATCACAACAAAGAGTGGTTAACTTTGAGAAGAATGGGAATCACAAAACACTTCATTGTGCTCATGTAAAACCTACACTTGGACCAGGAAGAAGTCATAAGAACAGAGCAAGGAAACACGCATGGTTCAGAATCAAGAAACGTATATGTCAGGGATGTAGCCCATCTCCATACCTATTCAAATGCATAGATCATTTCAAACCCAGTGGATCATTCAGGAGGCTGGACTTTTTGAGGAAGAATGTGGCATCAGGATTGGAGGAAGACTCGCCAACAACATGCATTATTCAGATGACATAACTTCCCTTGCCAAAACTGAGGAGAACCTGAGGTGTTTTCTACATATAGAAGGTCAAGGACTGTAGTGTTCATTATGGATTTTCAACATCAGGAACAAGGATTCTCA